AATAAAACATTATAAAATTTTTATTAAAAATTTCCCAAAATTAAATATCTAAGTCTATATTATTTAATCTAAATATGATTAACTTTTTAAAGCTATTCTAATACAAATTTTATAATGTTCTATTATAATGAACTTTAAGATACAAAAATTGCAATTTTTTTATTTGTTAAATGTCTTAATTAAACTTAGAAGTTTTTTGAATTGCTTTATAAAAATTTATTTCTATATACTTTTGAGTATAAAGAATAATATATTTTAAAACCAACTATTATTTATAATAGGGTTTAAAAATGCGTCGAGCTAATAACAATTTTTTTATTTTTTATTTTTTGATCAAAAATGCTTAATAAAATTTTATTTAAAATTCCTAAACAACTTCACTTACTACGCCAAGTTTACTTTCCTTATTAAAAAAATAAGTTACGATCATCATTAGGTCAAAAATCCGGTGATCACTGGGAGTGTACAATTTATCAAAAACTACAATACATTTTTTAAAAGATTAAATAAAACCCAAATTTTATTTTAATTCGATTTTATTATGATACGCGACAATGATTAAGATCAGAAATTGTATTTGACTTAATAGAATTTAATTATTGGGTTTAGCTAAATTATCCATTGCAATTATTAGTAGATTAATAATTATAAATTTTCATTTTCAATAATCCTATATAAATCAACCTCAACTTTCATCACTGCTTGTTGCACATCATGCATTGTGGCATTAACCATCTTTGATGCAAAAACTAATATTCTTTCATAATCTTCGTGAAAACTGCCAGTTAGCTCAACGTTTTTAAAGAAAGCAGACTCTGAGCGATTTTGAAAAATTTGATATGCGGTATATTTTTCTCCAAATGTAAGATTCGGTTGATCACTATTATTATTCTCAATATTCTTATACAGAAATGTCGAATATCTGTTGCGTAAATTGCTCAAAGGGTCTTCAGAAAATAAACAAGATTCTGAAGCTGTTTGTTTGTCCGGAACTTCAACACAAAAATTCAAATCTTGAATTTCCTTTTCAATCGGTTCAATAAAATCATTGACACTATTTTCGAAATTTTTAATAATATTTTTGTCAAGTTCTTTCTTCCTTTGCATCTTATAAAACTCCTGTACTGTAAGGGCCCGTGAAGTAGATCCTAACTGATTTTCAGTCGTATCTAGAAAATTTTTTAATTTTTCTTTGCGCACTTGTTCTTCAATTACTGGTACGACTGTTTCCGAAAGCTCGCGAAATGGCTTAGATACTTGCTCCATTTCTTAATGTTGTTTATTAAATTGTGTAAGTTATTGAATATCCATCCTAATAACAGGATAAAAACTCAATGTTATAAAAAAAAAAAAATCTAATTACCTTCAATTCGTTTCTCTCGATTGATGTGTGCAGAGTTCTGTGTATCTTTAGGTTTTTGTGGCCATCGTTTTCTTCCAACCAATGTATCAGAACAATGCTTTATATATTTATCCGGATTGCTATCAATCCATTCTTTCAAATCACTTTTAATAAATATTTGAGTAGGGCAAGTTAGCTTAATGTCCATAATAAGGAATGAAATTATTTACCCGGGAAATCATAGTGCAAACCTCAAATCTAAAGGAATTTCTTTTGAAAAAAGTTTTTCTTGTCTTTCGCTCAATTTTTTTATCCAATCTTCAAAATTAGGAAAGTACAAGAAAAACTCATCTCTATCATTCGGTACCCTGTATACAAATAAATTTCGACGAATTAAGTGGCCAATTTTGAAATTTCATTAAAAGCAAAAGTTATCGTAAGTTATCGTAAGTTATCGTGATACCTTCTCTTCCCATCCAATCCATATATCATTTTTATTATCACGATTATTACAGCTAACAATGAAAGAGAAGGATTTCGATTTATCTCAAGATTTAAGTTGATCAATTGCGCCAACTCCTTGGAGATAACATATGTTTCAACTATATACAATACTAAAGTCAGAATGTTATTTTAGTAATTTTGAATATTTAATACAAATAATTACCTGGTAGCATAAAATCTCTGATGAATCGATAAAGTATAGGTGGAGCATTAATCTCAGGAAAAGTTATTCCGTAAAACTTTTTATAGAATGCGATAAAATCGAATTCTAAGGAAGTTAAGAAATGCCATGATTGATGTCGCTATAAAAAATACAAGCGACAATGTTTATTAAGGATGATTTTTTGTAAATTCTAAAAATTTCGATAACAACCTCTTTTTCAAAGAACTTCTTAACAAAATGAGGTCCCAGATGTAATTTCATATCATTGGGTAATTCTTGACGAACTACCAGATCTGATAAACGACCAGTAGAAGCCCAACTAAAAAGAATAATTATAATTATTATGAAGATTGTGGATCATGAAAATTTATTCTACAAACTTACCGGACAATATCACCCTTTATTATAGGAATCCTTAACCAAACACATCCAAGATATATTATAACCAACACAAAACTTAAACTCATATTTGATAATCGACATGGTAAAGCATTATATGTCATTTTTTTTGCTGAACTGTTTAAGTCAGAAAATTCGTTACCACTACTCTTTTGATGACCATCACTCTTACCACCGGAATCGGAATCTTGTGGAATATTGATCAAGAATTCCAAATTATCATCATATTCTTGTGGTACTGATGAGGAAGCCTCAGAAACGTCAGGATTAATATCCATCGCATCAAGATCTAGTTCACATATTTTGTTTACATAGAGAATCCATAGATGTTGAACTACTTGCTGTTTAAAAACGACCTTTAAGCGGTGGCACATGTACCATGATACTTGAAGAATGAAGAAAACGAACCTCTATTTGTGGTTCAAATCCCATCTCGTGTATTAAAACATATAATTGTCTCCTCAGTACCCATTGAGCTACGGTCAAAAGTACTTGGGCATACTCAGTACGATTTTGATATGCATAGTATTCGTCTTTGATGATAATTTAAAATTTTTAATTGAAGTCACGAAAAGTTTTTTCCTTTAATAAAATTATTCCTTTAACCTACTTGACGACTTTTTAGAGCGACCACGTCGCTTTTTACCTACAACTGAGATAGATTCTAACTCGCTCTCTTGCTCTCGAAATCCCTTTTTTTAAGCAAAATCAAAATAAGTCATTAAATTAATAAAAGGTTTTACCTGTCGCGAACAAGAGCTATTAAAAAGAAAAAAAAAAATCTATATATATATACCTCCCTTTGGTGCCCAAATGGGCAAACCAATCCTCCTAACTTGTCTTTGAACCATTTTCGGCTTTTACAAATAGGACATGCTGGCATTTTTTTTTTTTTTTTTTTTTTTTTCGATCGTGATTATACTTAACAGTTATTATTAATTCTCGAATGATTTTAATAATCAATCACCGATAATTAGATTGAATACGATTGGTTGATGGGTTTTCCATTGCCGTTATTATAACAAAAAATTTCGTTTAGGTTTTGATTTAGGCAAACCGATAGTAATATCGCTCAAGGAAAACTTTTTGTTAGTGCACGAAAAGTAGTTTTTTATACAAATTCTTGAGAAATAAGCGATTTTTGAAAAAAATGATTGTGTTCGTTATACTAAATTATGACTTTTTATTGGTCAATAATCACGCGGGGTGAATTTAATCTTGATTGAAAATGATAGAAAAACCAATACAGATAAAGTTGATTTTCGGACGTTCTAAAAGCCTTGAGCTTGCTTTAGAATGTCCTAAATTTCTAAAATATATTCTAAAATTTAAAAGAAAATTACTATTTGTACACGGTGTGTTTGAACACGGGTATTGATTTGTAAATCTGTGTACATGCCAATCAAAACAACTTTTGTAAACGAAAAATTAAGCCATTACTTCGGGTTAGGGTAAGGGAGCATTTAGGAT